ACTTTTATTGGTATACACTCGGTAGACTCATCAGGAGTTGTGTCATCAATGATAAAGGTTTTCTCAGATGGAAGTCTTGGGAAGTGAAATCTACAAGTAGTTCTTTTATTTTTCTTGCAACTTTTTGAGTGTTTTTTGCTATGCGTTTGAACTTCTGTTACTATTTTGCACAAATCTGGATTAGTTGTTTCATCGGGCAATTCACAAGTAACATACTTATCTATGAATTTTTCCACTTCTGAATTTGTTGATTTGCCATAAATGGGAGCACCTTCAATCCAAATTAAACAATGTACATGAGGCGACCCTCTCATTTGAAATTCAACTCTATAAAACATGTCTTTCACTTTACCAATAGGTTGTGCTGGAGATTTAATAACATCATTCATGAACTTTTTCCATCTATTATCAAACATTCTAGTTACAGTGACGGGATTATCCCTAATCAATTCAGCACGTTCTGTCTTGGATATTTCTTCTGGTAATCGTGGGTCATTGTTTTGATTAAGAATTGTGCTAATAACTTCATTCCATTTCATATCTGCTGATGAAAACGAGCAAAACCATGTCGGTGGACCAAGTTGCCTAATCATTGCAAATAAATCTTTTTGTACATGTTGCCAGTATGGTGGTGTTCCACGAATTGGTTGTAAATAGTGATGACCAGCATTTTTACGGCAAAGCTTTTCACTTTTTTCTTTGTCAATTATATCCTCAGCTGTTATTGTATCACCACTTTTTGACTTTCCCGTTATCTTTCTGAGATTGACACTCACTTTGGACAGAATATTCTGGACTTCAGTCAGATATTGAGCATAAAATATATACTGAGTATTTTTAGCAAATCTTAAGTCTGCAGAGAATAATCTATTGCCAAAATATTTTGTTGCTGACAATTTCTTTTCTCTATTTTCATTATTAGCATTTCTACCATTTGGAAACAAAGTTGGAAATGAAAGAGCTTCATTATTCTTTTCATCAAGAATACGTATTGGCTTGTTTCCTTCTCCTGGTGCTATGCAGTATATTTTGTCAAGATGTGTATCCAGAATGTGCTGAGCAATATTATCAGGCTGCAAACAAGTGTCAGATACTATATCTATCATATCATTTCTTGTATCTTCCCCCTTGTTCTCTGTGCTAATTTCTCGTTGACATACATTATATCCAATATCAGTTTGTTTTAATTCAGGTGTCCTTCCATATTGTTTTTGATCTTCTTCACTTAAAATTTCTTGAGGTATTAAATTCACAAAATCATCCGTTATATCAATATCTTTGTAGTGTTCATTATTTTGTTTAAGATATGCTAATGCCTTTTTTACTCTTGAAATACTGACTGATTTATATAAGTAATGCCCTTGATATTCAAGTTTACGCTTTAGTTTGACAGTCAAAAGCTGCTCATCATTCATTGGTCTTGGTAAAGCTTTAATGGTTTCATCAGCATTATTTGACACAGATATAACAGGCCCATTCATACCAAATTGTCCTCCTCTTGGCAACTGAACTACTTTCATGAAAGGTAAACGTAGCGATACCAAATGTTGTTCAAGTATATTTAAATCTTTTAGTTCTTGTGGAATTGCTGGTAATGACAATTTATTGCTATTAGCCATTGGTGGAATTTTCCCTTTTTTAAAATTTACATGACAGTTTTGACATATCCATAATTTACTCATTGGAGACTTACAAAGTGCACAATTTTCTTTGCAGGATATTTCTTTATTATGTAAATACATTTCTGAAACACACTTTTGTTTATCTTCCTTAGATAGTTTGGGATAGGCATTTCCCTTGTATGTTAGCACTTGGTGTTGAAATAGCAATCTGTGACATACCACGCAAATATAGTTTAATCCATCATTTATTGTCTGTTTAAAGTCATGAATTACTCTATCAATATTTTCTCGTTGAGTCTTTTTGGTAATGTGTTTTTCTTTACCTTGGATAATTTTACTTTTTTTGAAGGTTTCACTAGTGTCATATTTTTGTTTGCTCTGTTGTTTACTTTGTTTTTTCACTCTTTGTTGGAAGTCTTCATCAGATTCGTATTTTTCTTTACTCCGTTGCTTCACCTTTTCTTTAAAGTCTTGATCAAATTCATACTTTTCTTTACTCTGTTGCTTCACCTTTTCTTTAAAGTCTTGATCAAATTCATACTTTTCTTTACTCTGTTGCTTCACCTTTTCTTTAAAGTCTTGATCAAATTCATACTTTTCTTTACTCTGTTGCTTCACCTTTTCTTTAAAGTCTTGATCAAATTCATACTTTGCTTTACTTTGTTTCTTCACTTTTTTTTTAAAGTCTATATCACATTTGTATTTACTTTTACTTAAGTTTACCTTTCTTTGTTTAAAATCTTCATCAATTTCATATCTTTGTTTACTTTGGTTCAGCTTCTTTTGTTTGTGGTCTTCATCAATTTCATATCTTTGTTTGCTTTGGTTCAGCTTCCTTTGTTTGACGTCTTCATCAATTTCATATCTTTGTTTGCTTTGGTTCATCTTCCTTTGTTTGAAATCTTCATCAGTTTCATATCTATGCTTACTAAGATATTTCTTTTTATCTTTGAGTTCAGGTGTAGATGCATATTTCTCTTTATCATGTTTCAATTTTTTCTTTCTAAAGGTTTCATCAATAGTATACCTCCTTTTGGTGAGAATATTAGCCTTATATTTCTTTTGATCTGACTTGGACATTTTTCTCAATTTAGCCATTTCTTTATCTGAGAAAATATCAGTTTGGCAATCTTCTGTACACAGGCTACTGTCAAATATGGTTTCTTCATTATTCACAGTATTTTTGGTACAAGGCATCCAAGCTTCATCACATTTTCCAGCACCTAGCTGTCCAAATTTGCATGTTAATTGACAAAGATCAACATATGATTGTTTGATTTCTAGGCTCATTGAATCAACAGCATTTTGTTCATTGTCAGACAGTGGTTCAATAATTTCAGACTCTTTTCTTTGATGTGCATCAAGATTTTCCAAGTTCAATTTTCTTTTGCAAGATTTCCTTTGAGCTGACTTTGAGGACATGTTGAATGGTTCACTACCAGTAAGGTTTTTCACTTCATTTTTTGCAAGATCATTTCTACACTTCATTTTGCTAGATATTGTTGATAGTTTAGACTCAGAGTTTTGATCTTGTATTCGCTGAGAACTTCTATATTCTTCAAACTTGATACCATCAACAGAAAACCCATGCTTAGCATTAGTTCTGTTTATTAAACTATCAGTTAAAGACTCAGCAGTGTTCCATAAGAATAATGACATTCTTTCCAATGAATTTGAAATATGAACTATTGCATTTCCTAAAACATCAATTCTTCCTTGATCATCTCTACTGTGAGGATCAAATGAGTAATACATGTCTTTTTTCTTTATTACACAAATTGTTGTATTCATGAATGTAATAAGGCAGGAGTTGTAATCTGTGAACACTTTTTCAATAGCTTCATGTAGAGTTAATCCGTCATCATCTTCTTCATTGTAATTCCAATATTCTAAGTAGCCCTGTAATTGTCTTGATTTGTATATATAAGTTTTGTTGTTAAAACTGATGGTTTCTGGAATGTCAAATATTTCAAGGTAGCCTGTCGGAGTTGGATTTTGTGCTATAATGCTAGTATACAGAATATTGCCTCGGACTAATACATCTGTGATAAATTCAGCATCAATTTTGCGATTGGTTTCATTTTCAAGCATTAGTAAAAATGACATTGAATTTGCAAAACATTGCTTTCCACCACCAATTCCATCAAACATGGAGTTATTTTGAGATATGTTTCCTTGTATGACTTCATCAAAGATCTGTATTGTTGGTGTATTTTCTTTAACAGGATTTATGTCTGCATTTCCATGAATCACATCTGTGACAACATCATAATGATTTTGACTTGAATGATCAAGGTATATACACCTGTTAGTAAACTCTTTTCCAAATACTGCCCATCTTTTTGTGTTTTCAAACGTTAGTATCTGTGTTTTGAATAAATGGCAAGCAGTGGCTATTTCGATATCAGTTCCCCAAACAGAAAATGTGTTCATATTTTTAGATTTGATATGAATTTCCAACTCTGCTGCAGTTATTCCTCTAGTTTTACAAATGTATTCTTTACAGGTTTGATCATTTCTGTGACACACTATACTCTGTCTTATTGCAGTGTGATCATTTTCATCATTTGTTATACAGTATGCAATTGCTCTAAAGAGGCAGTTTCCATCACCTGTGATATGTTTTAAGGATTCATATTTTGGCTTCATAAAGGTAATGTCAACATTGTTATATACAGGATCATTGCTCTTTGATGTATACTTGAGATGATGGATGTTGCATAGCTTAACTTTCTCAATGTTTTGCAAGGGATTAAAATTTCCAATTGGCCTGCAGAAGGTTTCTTTCAAAACAGTTACATCATCAGAACTTTCACATGGTTTACTCTTGGATTTATTTTTTGGCTTGTAACCTCCAGTTTGAGATGCTTCATATTTTGTATTTATATCTCCACATTCTGACTGTGTACATACATTTTCATTAAACAGTTTGTTTCTTTTGCCATTCTTTTGTGGGATCTCATTCTTTTTAGGTTCATTTTTATGGTTTGCAGTAGAAAATGTTTCATCATGAATCAGTACTGGTGGAACACGTGGAGAATTATCATTAAAAATATCTTCCATTTCTTGCACAATTTTCAGAAAGTATGGATCTTCAGTGTCCGACACATTTTCACAGTTTTCAGTTTTATCAATATCTGAGTTGTTACTAAGATATTTGAATCTTTTCAGTTGTTTTCTGTTTGAACAGTTTTTGATTTCAGTATTCTCTGTGTTTAAGATTTTGAAATCATTCTTTTCAATTGGTGGTACTCTTACAGTGTTGTCAGACAAATACTGTTCCAGATCAGGTTTAGTGAATACATGCTTCTTAGACTCTGAAGCTATATAGTTATTGTCAGGTAAATGCTTTTCTTGCTTTGAAATTAAGTTTCTTTTCTTCCTTCCAAGTTTTCGACTTGAAAATTTCTGAGTGTTCGTAAGAAAATACTGCACACATCTCTTGTTTTTTAAGTGTTGTTCCATTTTGTTTCTAGATGTGTTCATTCTAATCACTTTTGACCTTTCTTGTCCTCTCACTTTGTTGCGCCAGTACTTTTCTGATTTTGAAAGGGATCTTAGAATGTTCTTGTTATTAGTAAGTAAACATTTTACTTCTTGAATAATTCGTTGAGATTTTCCCAGAGTATCAGTGCAGTTTTCTAACAAAGTATCTCTAGTTTCTGTGATAGTTTCAACATTGGGTGACACATTCACTTTTGTAAGTTTTCTCAGTCTCTTCTTTTCAGATTTCACAATAGCGCTTGGTAATAACAGTGTGGCTAATTTAGTCACCAAGGTGTCTTGAATTTGTTCGGTAAGTACATTGTGATGTTTTGCATTGTTATTAGGGATATCAGAAGTTGTACATGATATAAGAGCAACATTCTTATACAAAGAGTCAGTTGAACAAGTAAACGCAATTTCAGAAAGTCTTGTTTCATTCAAGCACAATGGCATGGGGTTTTCAGACTTTTTACTTTCCCTCATTTTGATGGTTTCACTGTTTTGTTTAGCAAGTACCACAGATGGTTTGGGAAGTACCTCATTCCCTTTTTGTATCACAGTTAGTTGTTGTTTGCTAAGTAGCACATCAGTTTCTTTTTGTTTGGCAAGTGCCCCAGATGCATTTTGTTTGGTAAGTAGCACATCAGTTTGTTTTTGTTTGGCAAGAGCCCCAGTTTGTTTTTGTTTGCTAAGTAGCACATCAGTTTGTTTTTGTATGGCAAGAGCCCCAGTTTGTTTTTGTTTGGTAAGTACAACAATTTGTTTTTGTATGGCAAGAGCCCCAGATTGTTTTTGTATGGCAAGAGCCCCAGATTGTTTTTGTATGGCAATAGCCCCAGATTGTTTTTGTATGGCAATAGCCCCAGATTGTTTTTGTATGGCAAGAGCCCCAGATTGTTTTTGTATGGCAAGAGCCCCAGATTGTTTTTGTATGGCAAGAGCCCCAGTTTGTTTTTGTTTGGTAAGGACCACAGGTGTGTTTTCTCGGTAAATTACTGATTTCTCTAAACACGAAAATCTGAAATCAGGATGCATTTGTCCATGCTCCAGCCGCGATACAAATGCATCACCCCCATTGCGACCTTCACAGCGATTACCTAATTCCCTTGGGATGACTTTTCTCTTCTTCCTCCTTCCATCAGGCAAGGACTGCAAAACAAGAGTAATTACTGTACTCTCCGCATTTATTGTGTGCTATTATATTTCGTAATTGTGAGTTTAATTGTGAGTCTAATTCATGAAGTGTAATATCAAAGAAATTTAATTCATAAAATATATTTTGAAATTCTTGGGAGTTGAAGTTTAAATATTTCCCAGTGTGACAGTATTTTATAAACTAAAAGTAATTGAATAAATTTTGTAACCACAATAATTCAATATCACAAAAAAACATGAAATATATAAAAGCACTGAATAATGCAGAGTACAGTATCTGGTAGCCTTGCCCAAGTCGGTCTCTTTTACTATCTGATTTCTATTATGACCGCCTTGTACAAAAGAGAAAGCCACGTGCTTTACCGACTCAATGTTTATGTCGGTAAAATTTGACCAATCAACGACGGCCCTGCAGCGCTAGCTCATTATTATGCACGGTCAAAAACAAGTACACTTTTCGTCGGGACGTTTCACGAACAAATCTTGCATGAATTCATCATGAAAATACAAATATTTTATCAGATAAATATTAATCAGAGTTAAGTGGATGCTAGACATCGATCGGTAACCGGAGGTTAGAAGATTTCAACAATAAACGTTGAAACGATCGCTGAATTCAAATGAACATGTAGGCTGAGATTCAATCACTGATCGACGACTACATGACCCGCTACATTGGACTAGGTCTTGCATTTTCATCGCTAGATCAGTTTTAAATCTATTGCATGATTTAATTTATATTAATGACTCTTACATTCCCTATGTACATTTAATTACATAATATATTGTAACTCTAAAGAAACGATCGATCAGATCATTGAATTTCAAGTCGCAGACGGGAAGATTGCTTTGCTGTGAAGCTCAACCTGATAACGTTTTGATTGGTCAATCAGCCTGAAGTCACACGTCGTGTCCACGCGTATATCTGTTAATCAATAAGGTTTCGCGATACCCCTGATAGCGTAGGTATTATGGAAATCTCGAAACCGTTGAATATCTCAGCATAATAGCAGCGGAGATGTATTGGATTGTACAAGGCGGTAATAATTCAAGATCAGATAAGTAAAAAATACCGACTTGGGCAAGGCTAAGTATCTGGTATTCAGAAGAATAAATAACACAAATAAATACATACCTCTCTAGATCTCTCCCTCAGGGTATTGAAATAATTAGCCAGTTGGATGTATCAAATGCCCGTGACTGATTGGCTAACTCACTCCAACACACTTGAGGTCATATTCATACACACATACAACAACACTGCACAGATACATACACAAATGACAATAAATGAACTAAAAGAGCATATGTACAACTTATTCAGTGCACTGGACTATTCAGGGAATCCCAAGACAAATTGTTCCATCACTCATTTTAACAACATTCATACAAACTCAGTGGGAAACTTTCATCATGAATAAATAAATAAGCAGAATTGTATTTTGATTTATCCAGAAATTTTCGGAGCTCATGAGATTCAGAACTCTAAATTAACTAAGTTGTACACAGACATTTTCAGCCAAGTGTTCCTAAAGACCTGAAAAAGAAACTGCCACTCAGCTCAAACAGTGATCATACATGAGTTAAAAATATAGAGAACACATCCAACTCAACTTCTAGGTTATAGCACAAAAATCACCTTACCTGATGTATCCAAAGCTCTTCATCTGGCTAGGTTTCATTAGCCAGGATGCCCAAATGGAATGTATACCTCAGTTCACTCAGATACATACCCACAAATGTTCATATGTCCTGAGACTTGCAACTCGAGCTGTCAAACTTTTGTAACTGAAACCTCAGACAGTGAAACTTGACTTTAAACATAATTTTCAGGCTCACAACATCAAGGTAACAGCATACATACCCATTAGCTCTAGATGATGAAATATAACAAGAGTTATATAACACCGCTCTCCATCTAGGTTACATAAATCTAACAACATGGATGACCATTGTTGACTATTGTTTAGTTTACCTTCTTTAGGTCTAACTTGGACCTCCTGACATACTCTCTCTTCCTCCATGCTTTGGGTTTTCTTGCCATAGCTGTGTAAATAAAAATAAATAATCAAGACAACAAATATACATTTTCTATGACATATGCCACATTAATTAAACAACAGAAATTAACTTCTTGTATCATGTATGAAAAAGTGCTGGAGTGTTATGCTATTTTTCATTCTATGTGCTTTTATTTCATCTAACATCAAATGTATCAATTCAGGCAATTTAAGTATAAAATAAAATTTAGCCAAATGAATTGTAAATAAAATTTTAATCCATCTTATTGTTACATTGTCATACTTAATTAGTCAAACCATGATTGAGTATATGGTTCGTACTTAATATGAATGAGTATTCAATAAATCATGCTTGGAGGACACCATAATTATGCTTAAAATTCAAAATTTTAATTCTAAATATTTCATTTGAGATTCTGTTAAAAATTCAAATTATATATGGAGCGCTTTATAAACATTTAACTTTACTATTGTATTTATGGTATGAGATATTAAAGTGTATTTCTATTAGGCATATATCATAGAAGTTGTATCTTTTAATACATAAATGAAATGTTACGTAAAACCATAGCACAGTAGATAGTGTATCCAATTTCAAACATTTATCCTTTGATTATTGAGTGTTATCAAAATATAGTTGTGAATTTCATGACAATATATCATTACGAAAGAAAGTTTGATACAACAGTAATTGAGCTTGTATTTCCAAATGCAACTTTAGGCTGTCGTCTACTGGATTAACTTAATGTTTTATGGGCAACTCATTTAAATATAAATATTAAATACCACTTTTTCATACATAATTAAATGAGTTGGAGATAATTGTAGGTTAATCCAGTAGCTAACAGCTATAAGTTGCATTTACTAATATAAACTCAGCCAATCAAGTAATATGTTAACTTTAAAGTGAACAATTTATTACAATGTCTAATACCAAATTGATGAGACCGTAGAAAAATAAAATGTACATTTAATACTGTTATTAAGGAATCCTGAAAAAATTAGGTTTATGTTTAGGTGGTTGGACCTAAAAATATACCACTATGGGCAAAATATTGTTAGGGGGCTATAGCCAAAACCAATAATAGACACCAGCATCAAAGATATCACAGATTGAAGTACATAACACATGAAAGGCAAAAGAGGAACAAGCAAGAGCATAATTCTGTCTAAAGTAGAAGAAGAAGGCAATAGTTGAAAGAGTAACAGAAGGAATATATAAGCGCAAAGGCCAAAGGGAAGGGTGACTACAAACTCTAAAGAAACCCAACAAGAAAAGCAAACTGTAAGTGTAAATCTGTCATAAGAAAAGTAGACCCTATATATCCCAAAACCATGATCTAACGTGAAAAGAAACAATGTCTAACACCCCCCTCCAATCGAGAACCAATATCACAATCCAGGACCAGAACACCAAGGGACATTTGATTCATACTGAAGTCTGAATACATGTTGAAGAAAAAATTGAAAAATGTATAACCAATACTCATAACATCAAAAATAGTTACTAGTACTCATAAAAGATAGAGTATTCAGTCTCAAATGATGTGTGATAGATAAAATCCAGTCTCGAAGTCCATAGGCAATTCAGAGGGTCAACATCTGTTCGCAAAGCAGTCATCATAATTCATAAAACACAACAATTCACAATGGTCATCAGGAGAAAACTATGGCTGGTTTCAATCCTTATTTCTCAACCATTAATGCCATAGCCGGGATCCACCTCAAAAGGTGCCAAGTGAAAAAATTGTGAGTTCATTGCCAATTTATTATACCATTCCTACATCCTTCAGCATCTCAAGTGGAAAAACTTGAAATTTTAAAATTAATGACTTGTACTTTTCAGCAAAGCCCAGAAAGGATTTCTTAAGTTTTTTACAAGTATAACCTTGACCTTACAGCTTGATCACTAAAATATGGTGTCTTGATTTGAAATCTAGATATTTTGAACACCCCTGCAATATCTAATAAGCTGGGATACATAAACCCCATATGCTGGGTTTAGTGGAATATTGCTATCCAAATGTGGAAAATTAACAATGTAAAAATTAAAGTCATCTCTTTTGTAATATAATTTAAAATATATACTGTTGTCTCATTCAATGTTAATAAGAATATCAAGATAACATGCACTCATATCAAAGGAAGTATTTTGATTTGACAACTGGAATGATACAAGTCTAAAATTAAGAAAAAATGGAATCAGAGCAAAAAGAAGTTGAGCACAGTGCACAAAAAGCAAACTAAACTGTCAAAAAGGAAAAGGAAGCATAAGCAATGAACCAAACTTCATGACATTTGTCATGGAAGGAAAGTCAACAAAGAAAGCTTCAAAACCAAGAAAAAATTTGTAGCCAGAAACATATTTGAATTAGTAGATTTGTTTTTTGGAGAGAAGATTTTGTAATGATAATCCAGTATGTCTAATTATTTATGCAAATTCAAATAAACATTACTCAAACTTTCAAATCAATCTGTGGAGCATTGTGCCAACAAGACCATTCAGACAAGTTGGCCATTTTGCTATAGATTTTAATAAAAAAAAATTAGGAAAAGAAAATCTAGGATGACTACCTTAAATTTGACCAAGCATGCCCAAATATTAATAGCTCAATACACCTTGAAAACATTACTGAAAAGTTCAATCCATCTAGTGACAATAATTTGCAATGGAATATCAAAAATGGTTACTCTACAATGAAACAAACATGTTCAACATGTCCACACCAATAGGTTATCTTAATGGTTTTTCATCTGGAATCCCTGAAACTAATTGGTTAAAGAGACAAAAACGTGGGACAAACATTTAAAAAAATAGCCACTTTAACATTCACCCAGAATGTCCAAAAACTAATCAGTTTGAGATTTTCATACACTTATCCCAGCAAATTAAAAATTAAACGGTTTGTCTGGAAGTGCATACATAAGATATTAGACGAAAAAAACAAAATGGCCACCTTAACATTTACCATGCTCAAAATTAATCAGCGAGATTTTCATCATCGTTGCTGAAAATATGAAATCGATCTGCCAAATGGTTCCCCAGATACATGTTGATAAGACTTTACTGAGAAGATTTTAAAACAACA